GGCCCGGCAAGCGGAGGAGAAGCCCCTCCGAAGCCTTTCTGAAAGCCAGCGGCCCCCCCCAGCCCTCGCCCCTTCCAGCACGTGCTGCAAAAACCCGACACACGGCACCGTAGAGATATAGATATATTTGTGGTGATGTTGCATATTTAAGACAACTTTACATAATGCTTCTGACACAGAGTTTTGGCGTCCGCCCCTGCAGCGGGGCCGGGCCCTGCACGGCCCCTCTCGCCCGGCGTCCCTCCGCAGCCCCCCCACACCCCATGGGGGAGCAGGCGCAGGAGGGGAGGGCTGGGGTGCCAGCAGCTATCTGCCCTTGCCCACCAAGGCCTCCATCTCCCTTCGGCGTGAGGAGGAGCCCATTTCACAACGTGCCTCTTGCAGCACCAAGCATCCTTAAACCACAGAGCCTGGGAGCACGAGCCCCATCAGGCGGGGAAGCCCCGGGCTTTGGAGGAAGGTGAAAGACGGCACAGATCTTTGGAGATAGCAAAACCCGACTGGCCAAGCCCCGAGCCTCCGGCTCCTGCTTGAGCAGAGGGGCTGGTCCAGACAGTCTCCAGGTCGCCCCCAGCAGCTCCCCTGCCCCAGCCCCATGCAGGGGCAACAACCCCTTCCCAGGCTGCACCCGCATTCCCCGCTGCAGTCCCGTGCGGCACACGTGAAGCATCTTCCCCGCGTGAAAACCAAATCCAGACTTCTCCACGCAGCGTCGGTCTTCGAGAAAGGAAGATCGCAGGCGGTCCCCAAGCCTGGGAGGACGGCGGGGAAAGGGGATGCTCCGCTGCACCCCTTCCCCGGAGGAGGCGGCGTCTCTTCCCTCCAGAGGAGGGGGAAGCAGAAAGAGCAGAGAGTGGGTGGAGCCGGCTGGACCTCGTCTCGCCTCTTCGTTTTGGCCAGGGAAGCACAGCAGATCCCGAGGGCTTCTGCCGACCCGGGAGAAAAGAAAAGGCTGGGCCAAGGGGTCGTGGCACAGGGCAGCCCTCCGGGCGCAGCAAGCTGCAGTCTCATCCGCAGCAGGACGGCAGCCCCGTGGATGGCGTTTTGGCGGGGGACTGGGGCGTCCCGTTGCTGAAGCGGAGAGGGAGGCGGCAGGGTCTACAGCGGCCCGTCGGACTCGAACCGTGAACCGAGCGCTCCCCCGCTCGCCGTCGCACAACGCACACCGGCAGCTCCAAACGTTTGGCACAGTCGGGCAGCTGCCTGGGAGAGCAGGCAGCTCCCCCCAGCCAACCCTGCCTGAGGGGCAGGAGGGTGCCGTTCCCCAGCAGCCCCCAGCAGGAAATGGGGAAACAGCAAAACAATAACAACAATACTAATAATAATTAAAAAAAAAAATGTAAACGACCCAGCACCCTGTCCTGTAGCGCCAGGACACCCAAGAGAACAAGGTATGTCACAGTCTGAGGGGAGATGGAGACACAAGGACTGCCCGGCCAACACGGGGTCTCGTCTCTATTGCACTTTGCATCATATATATTTCTATATATATATATTTATAAAAATACAAACTAAAGGGCTGGGGTGAAGGGGATGAGATGCAAACCCTGGGCCAGCAGCAGCTCCTTGCACACGGCAGGCTTCGACCCATTCTACTTCTGCCTGTCCCTAGAGTCCCTTACCAGCCCTCCCGGGGGCAGCCAGCAGCACAGGGCCCGATCCTGCAGAGATCCAGCCCGGGGCTGGGCAGGGTGCCGAGTTGGTCCAGAGCCTGCCCATCTGCCAGCCTTCCCTCCCTCCCCCATCACCCCTCTCCGAGGCTCCGAGGCCTGCAGTAACAAACACGCAGCTCTTCCCAGCCGCCGCCGCCAGCTGTGCCACTC